GCAGGTGAAGATCGAAGTTTGTTCCTTGTTGGAACATGGAGATGTTGTTCCTTGTTGGAACATGCTTACTTGTTGGGATATCACAATATATCTTACTTAATTAATGCATCTATATACTTGGTAAAGGGTGGAAGGCTCGGCCTTATGCCTGGTGTTTTGTTCCACTCTTGCTACCCTAGTTTCCGTCATATCGGTGTTATGTTCCCGGATTTTGCGTTCCTTACACGGTTGGGCTATTATGGGAACCCCTTGACAGTTCGCCTTAAGTAAAGCTCTTCCAGCAATGCCCAACCTTGGTTTTACCATTTGCCACCTAGCCTTTTCTTTCCCTTGGGTTTCGCGGACTCAAGGGTCATCATTATTTTACCCCCCCCCCCCCGGGCCAGTGCTCCTCTGAGTGTTGGTCCGAACTGGGCAGCCTGCGGGGCCACCTCGGGGAAACTTGAGGGTTGGTTCTACTCGTAGCTTGACCTATCTGAGTGTGCCCTGAGAAAGAGATATGTGCAGCTCCTATCGGGATTTGTCGGCACATTCGGGCGGTGTTGCTGGTTTAGTTTTACCCTGTCGAAATGTCTTGTTGTACCGGGATACCGAGTCTGATCGGAACGTCTCGGGTGGAGGTCTATTCCTTCGTTGACCATGAGAGCTTGTCATGGGCTAAGTTGGGACACCCCTGCAGGGATTTGAACTTTCGAAAGCCGTGCCCGCGGTTATGGGCAGATGGGAATTTGTTAACGTCCGGTTGTAGAAAACCCGAAGTTGACCTTAATTAAAATACATCAACCGTGTGTGTAACCGTGATGGTCTCTTTCCGGCGGAGTCCGGGAAGTGAACACGGTGTTGGAGTTATGCTTGACGTAGGTAGTCCAGGATCACTTCTTGATCATACCTTTATCGACCGTGCTTTGCCTTCTCTTCTCGCTCTCTTTTGCGTATGTTAGCCACCATATATGCTAGTCGCTTGCTGCAGCTCCACCTCATACCTTTACCTTACCCATAAGCTTAAATAGTCTTGATCTCGTGGGTGCGAGATTGCTGAGTCCCCGTGGCTCACAGATACTTCCAAAACCCAGCTTGCAGGTGCCGTTGAGTCCGTGCAGATGACGCAACCAAGCTCAGGAGGAGCTCGATGAAGATCTTGTCCTTTGTAGTGTTTCCGTTCTAGTTGATCAGTAGTGGAGCCCAGTTGGGGTCGATCGGGGACCTTTGTCGCATTTGGGGTTCTTCTTTTATTTTGGTTCCGTAGTCGGACCTTGATTGTATCTGTATGATGTAATGCTTTATTCATGTAATTGTGTGAAGTGGCGATTGTAAGCCAACTATGTATCTTTTTCCCTTATGTATTACATGGGTGGTGTGAAGATTACCTCACTTGCGACATTGCTTTCAATGCGGTTATGCCTCTAAGTCGTGCTTCGACACGTGGGAGATATAGCCGCATCGAGGGCGTTACAGAGGACCGGTACAACTGCCCAACCACCGCCCGAGCGGAACAACCGGCCAACCACCGCCCAACAACCGGGAGCTATTCTATGATCAAGCGGTGCAAGGCCGGTACAGCACCGGTTCTACCGGTTTCGGCCCAAAGACCGGAACAACCACCCCAACCTCCGGTACAACCGCTGGCTCTTTCGACGCCCACCTCCAGGAGCCAGTGCCCGACCTCCCAGCGGTAGTACCGCCTTCCTCGACCGGAACTACCGCCCCTCATGAGCTCTCAGCGGTACTACCGGCCCCATGACCGGTACTACCGGCCTGCCTGTGCGCAGTGCACTTACCCCTTCGTGGCTTAGCACTATATATACTCGTCTCCTAGCTTCGTATTAGGGTTAGCATTGGATTAGCTCATATTTGTGAGAGAGACTTTGCTCATCCACTTGGATACTTCTCCTCGGAGTTCAGGACCTCTTCGGAGAAGATCCCCCAAGTGGATTCAAGACCCCTCTCGAGGGAAGACCATCAAGACCTCCGTTAGGAGATGAACTGTCCTTTGTATCCTTACCTTTGTTGACTGTGGATCATATGTACCTCTTTGTGTTCGGTGATCTAGAACTCGTGTGATTGATTCTCTGTCGGCTTCGTGATTCTCTCTCGTCCTCCCCATGATTTCCCCTTTGTGCTTCCGCGTGTTCTTCGTGTTTCTCCCGTGGGATCCCTCCAAACGTGAAAGATCATCCACCTAGGGTTTTGCCCTACATCAATACCGCTATTCACTTCACTTGCGACGATGGAGATGGACGCTCGGCGGCTCCGCCGAAAGAACACCAAGGCGCTCTGGCTTGCCGTTGAGCAGTCGGAGCACTTGGCGGCGGATGCGACTCGGGTGGCAAAGCTGAAGCGGTATGAAGACAGGGCCATCCCATGGTTGAAAGGGCTCATCGTCCTCTTCGACTCCTCGCCCGACAACGAAGACGCCTCCTCGGTTGACTTGGAGATCCACCACCAGTCGCGGATGCCTACAACTGCACCGACGACCGTAAGGGCAAAGGGCCGACAACAAAGTGGTGAAGATCCTCCGTCTCCACCTTTAATTTCAAGTTTTTATAATGTAGTTGAAACTTGTTCGTCGTTTATGTGGATTATGTGAACTTTGGCAATCTTTTGGACATCTGTGGGTGATCTTTTGATGATCGGAATGTGCATTTCTATGCCTGATTCTATGTCTGTTTTATGATCTACGTAGCTTTATTTACGTTGCATGATTTAGTATGGATACAATGTATCAGATATGAGATACATGGATATAGACGACGCGATTTAAGGACTGACTGATCAGCGCTTGCGAACGCGTCCGTGTGGGTTTGAAGGACGGATTCGGTGACCACACGTAGATGCTCTTAGGCCAACTCCAATGCACGACCCCAAACGGATGTCTATTTTGTCCAGATTTCGTCCGTTTGGGTAGGGAAATGGGGCGGCGTCCGACCATTTTCATGGATGCGCTGGCTGTGCGCCTAATGCGCGGGCACATCTGGCCCGCCACGGTCGGCTAGTGCCCGTATGTATACATTTTTTTGGCTGCATTTCTTTTATCATTTCATCAACGACATTTTGATACATTGGAGTACATTCACCAATTCTTGACTAGAATAGTAAAACCAAAGAAAACAAGAACTACAAATTAGACATTTTAAAAGATATCTAACTTCCATAACTGCTCTCATAAGTCGGATTAGTGTCTTCTTGATGCCTTCATTGTTGATCTGCGACTTGCATACGTCTTTCTTCTTCGATTCTAAAAAGAAGTAGATGTTGCTTGGCATCTAGTCTCATCTCTAGCCTCTATTCTCGCAACGAGTGCACGAACATCTATCAAATTTGGTCCTATCAATATATCAATGTATTCTTCTTGCCAATACCAAACTTGCATCCATCCCACACACAAATTTGAGTGTCAGCAAAGAGCTATTGAAAATGTGCCGAATCCAAGAGCACAACCAAAGGAAAACAAGCACACACCCCATTGTTTTTGCACTTGATGAACACACATTCGGAATGTTCCAGCATTGTAGATATGCGGCGAATGACCTGTCACGGGCAGTCCTCACACTTTATGAGCGGCAACAGTGAGCCGACGAGCCGTTGGCCCACACCGAGCCCAGACGATGGCTGGACGTGTGTGGTGGCGAACCGACGACGAGATATATTTGAGTAGGGATGGCACCCGCAGGGTCTGGGTACGGGTGAAGCCACCCCATACCCTTACCCATCACCCTTATCTGTACCCGTCAATGGGTACAATTTTTTCCCATACTCGTTACCCGACAAGGTAGATGGGTTCCCGCGGGTAAAATTACCCATGTTGGCAAAGCATTAGTTTGAACAACTCATAGTCATAAACAATAACATATAATTATAATCTGTAAACAACAACAGACTATAATAACAACACATCATAAACAACAACATATTTAATAAACAACATCACTTTCTCGTAAACAACAACACATCAAATCATCATCACATAGTAATACATTTTGAGTTCACAAATTGATGGCAAAGTGTAGAGATAATTTGGAGTTCATATACATTTTATATGGGTACGTGGGTATGTGGGTATGAGTTATATGATCCCATGTCCGTACCTGCTCTACGGGATTTAACATTTTTCTATTTATATATCTATGGGTAATTTTTTGTCCCATATCCTCACCCTATTAGGGTTTTTACTTGCAGGGTACATGGGTAATGGCTACCCATTGCCATCCCTAGATTTGAGCGGCTAGAGGCGGAGTCAATACCTTCATGCGGCGTGGAGGTGTTGTCGGGGCCGTGCGGTTCGGTACCCAGCCAATCCATGGCAAGGTGCAGCCTCCCGCGGCCGGATGCGCTCAAATCTGGCGGTTGGATGCGCTCTCCTCAAATCCGACGAACGGGCTGGATAGCAAGATGGCCAAGAAAATGGCGGCCGTAAGGGGCGGGGGGCTGCCGGGCTGGACATCGAGGTGGCCGAGAAAATGGTAGCGACTATGGCAAGGTTAGGGGCGCAGGGATGGAGGGAGGAGGGAATAGAAAAAGGGCTATTTGTGTCACCGACGGGCGGACCAGGGGAGGACAAGGGCATGTGTCCCCTGTCCCCGCATGCCCGTTTCAATGCAAACATGACCCAAGTTTGGTTCATGAACGTGGTCAAAAGTGGGCGAAAAATGAATGTTTGTATATTTACTCCGCGCATCGCGCATCGAGTTACGTTTTTTGTCCGTTTATCTTCAAACGGATGCGGCTGAAGCATTTGGGTCCTTGGAGTGTTGGCCTTTAGCGTGTCCCGCCGAGGGAATCGTGGCCGATGGCGAGCCATCCGCGCGCGCACTGCTCAGCTCGAAGGGAAGGACTGTGATGTCAGCAGTCCATCGGGCCTCGCGCTCAGTGACCACGCGTAGCGTAAGACCAAGCCAATCATCGGGAAACCTCAGCTCCGTGCTCGCCCGCTCCTTCCGTGAGGACCATCATACGCACACGCTCCCATCCGAACCCTAGCCTTAGCTAACCCGGCGCTTGCCATGCTCTCCACAGCACCAGCCGCGTATTCCACCTCCTTCGCCGCCTTTCCCACCCTCGCGCGGCGCCGGCACCGGCACCGCCGCGTTCTGCTACCGTTCGCCGCGGCGACTGACGGGGCGGAGCGGTTCGCCGCGAGCAGCTCCATTGCGGATTACCTCCGGTACCGCCGCCCGATGTCCGGGGACCTCTCCGTGGGAGGGGGTGGCGGCAAGCTGCAGACGGCCGTGGTGCGGTACGAGAAGCGGTTTCCATGGTCGCTCATCCACCCTTTTCTCCGCGTAAGTCCAGCATGGTGGATGTCTTCTCTTCTGCTGCGTGCTGCTTGCTTTAGATTTAATTGTTGTAGAATCGAATATTTGTTTCGAATTTCTCTAGAAATGTTTAAATTTGACTATTACTTTCATGATAGCTAGCCGTGTAATTTATGGCTAGAAGCCATGGATTATGTTAATGGTTCAAACAGTTTGGTAATAGGTAAAACTTTCTTCGGATTCATGAGTTGGAAGTGTGTTACACTATTGTTTGCAGGCACATCTGTATACTGCAATTCAACAACAATGACGATTTCAACTCGCCGAAGCTTGCCGGCTAACTTATACTACCTCCGTTCTAGAATATATGACTAGCCTACCAAAACGTCATATATTTTAGAATGGAGGCAGTATTCTTTTTGGACCCTGATAAATGCCACACGTGTGGCACGAACACATGGCAACTCCGAACGTTTTTTATGGCAAGTTTAGTGACGCGAGGACGACAACTTTAGTTGTCAAGCATGGCAACTTTCTTGTTGGATGGCAAGTTTCAGTTTTTTTTTGGTTTGTTTTTCTTTTCAGATGGTAAATTTAGTTGTAAAAAATGCCAGGGCCAGAGTGCTTCATTTGGGTTCTTTTTTCTTGAGCGAAAACAATGAAGGGAGATCGCCCACTTAAATTCCATTACTGGAAACACATGCAATTACATATACACACACAGCCGTGGTGGGACACACTTATGCGCGCACACAGTGTCCCTCGGTGGGGAGGTACAACAAGCGCGCCACAACATGAGCGGTGTAACACACTCAAACAAGGGTGGCACACCAGAGGTTGATGGGGGAAAGATCAAGAGGTTGATGGGGGGAAGGATCAACACGACGGGGGCAGCAAACTGTACCCAGGTTGAGGTGATCAATGATCATGTGCCGCAACATGAGCGGTGTAACACACTCAACCAAGGGTGGCACACCAGAGGTTGATGGG